CGTGACGGCAGTGGCTTGGACTCTTTGGAAGCAAAGAAATGCCAGGGTTTTCAACAGACAGGAGCAGAAGAAACCTGCACCCCTCATCCCCAATCTTGTGTTTGAGGAAATCACGGCATGGCATACGGCAGGGCTTGGAGCGGGACGTCTACAACATTTTGTGAGAAGTTAGATTAGTTGTGCTTCGGAGTCGAGTAGGTGTGTGTCACCCACCCTTGATGTTCGCATCAGGGATGGGCTTCTTGTACATTAACTCTCTTTCGTCTATAAAAATATGGTACGTCATTGGCGTACTCTCGAAAAAATATATATTACTAAATAAAGATTCAATGGGTGAGACTCCAGTCATTTTAATATCTTCATCATGATTACGATAAAAACTGGGCGGAATTGCTTTTTCCAGGAATTCTCGCTTAGCTCTCAACCTAGCGGTTCTCTCTTTACTTTCATTAATAGATATTTCGATAGACTTAATTGAGTCATTAATATCATGCTTGGGTGGATTTTTTTAATTTTGAGAGTATCCACATCATGAGCAGTTCTATCCATGTTCCTAGCCATATCATCAACTTTATTCAATTGTTCCTCTATCATAGTATTAAAAATCTATTGAGAATTAATAAGTTTTTTAATATTACTTTCAAGATCAGAGGGCATCTTATTATTATTATTATTATTATTATTATTATATGAATTACTATAATTATCAGAGGAATTTCTAGGAAACGCCCTAGGACTGATATTACACCTATAAGCGTTGTTATTGAAATTATTTCTAGAGACAAAATTCACATAACCGGAATTATTATTTTGCTCAATCAAATTAGATAATGGCACATTATTAGGATCAACACGAGCACTCTTACTAGCAACCATTTTCATAAGCGCATCCATTTTATCACTCAAATTGTTAATTTCTTCGATAGAATTCACCTATTCACTAGTTGGAGTTCTTTCCGTGTACCATTGTGAATAATTTGCCATAATATTATCAAAGAATTTTGCATCTTCATCTAATGTGATTTCCACAAAGGTACCCCCCCCCCCGCGCGGTAGAATCTAAAAGATTTCTAGAAACAAAGTTTTATCTCGCATAATTTTTTTTGCATGATCATCCATAAGCTTAAACCATGAGTGGGACAGTTTCTTATCATTAATTTAATTCTCTCCCAAGATTAGGCAACATATTCATGCTCAAGTTTCTTAAATTTCACAATTTGATATCTTAGAGAAATAATTTTTGCGGGAGGAAAATACTTGGCAATAAAAGCATCCTTACACTTATCCCAAGAATCAATACTATTTCGTGGCAAGGATGAAAACCAAGTTTTAGCACGATCTCGCAGCGAGAACGGAAATAGTTTCAATTTGACAATATCATTATCCACATCTTTTTCCTTTTGCATATCATATAATTCAATGAAAGTATTAATATGGGATGCAACATCTTCAATAGGACTACCTGAGAATTGTTCTTTCATAACAAGATTTAGTAAAGCGGCATTAATATCACATGACCCCGTACTAGTGCCGGGACGAGCAATTGGAGTACTACTAAAATCATTATTGTTAGTATTGAAAAGTCACACAATTTGGTATTTTCTTGAGACATAGCGATAAAGCACGCAAACAAGCATACAAAAATATTTTTGTGTTTTGTTTGTAAAATTGTTCCAGAAGTGGGGGAGATGGAAACGAGAAGCAAATGGAAAATGAAAGTAAGAACAAGTAGACGATAGTTTATGCGAAGGTACTTGATAGGTTTTGGTGATGCCTCCCCGGCAGCAGCGCCAGAAATTCTTCCGGCTACCTGTGAGCTGCGTTGGGATTTCCTCAAAGAGGAGAGGATGATGCAGTATAGTAGTGATAAGTATTTCCCTCGTTTAAGAACCAAGGTTATCAATCCAGTAGGAGAATTAGGCGAAGCCTCGTTAACAGTACCTACACACAAAAGAGCAAATACTTGCACCCAACGCGATCAAGGGGGTTGTCAATCCCCTCAACGGTTATTCGTAAGGATCAAATGTGATAGTGATAGATCAATAGATAAAAACACAAAATAAAAGAATGATAGATAAATTGCAGCAAGGTATTTTTTATTTTATATATGATAAAAGTAGACCCAGGGGTCATAGTTTTCACTAGAGCCTTCTCTCTCGAGCACATAAAGTATGGTGGGTAAATAAATTACTGTTGGGCAATTGATAGAAAAGCACATAGTTATGACGATATTCAAGGCAATGATCATGTATATAGGCATCACGTCCGAGACAAGTAGATGGACTCCTGCCTACATCTACTACTATTACTTCACCCATCGACTGCTATCCAACATGCACCTAGAGTATTAAGTTCATGAAAAATGAAGTAACGCCTTAAGCAAGATGACATGATGTAGACAAAGTAAATCCAACCAATATGAATATACCCCGTCGTTTTCCCTTAATGGCAACAATACAAATATGTGTCTTGTCCCCTTCTGTCACTGGGCTATAGAACACCGCAAGATTGAACCGATTACAAAGCACCTCTCCCATTGCAAGATAAATCAATCTAGTTGGCTAAACTAAAAGGGTGAATCAGAGAGAAATACAAAGCTATAATAACCATGCATAAAAGAATTCGGAGAAGACTCAATTTGTATTCATGAATAATCTGATCATAAACCCATAATTCAACGGATGCCAACAAACACACCACAAAAGAAGATTACATCGAATAGACCTCCAAGAACATCGAGGAGAACATTGTATTGAAGTTCAAAGAGGGAGAAGAAGCCATCTAGCTACTAGATATGGACATGTAGGTCTGTGGTAAACTAATCACACATCATCGGAAGGGCAACAAGGTTGGTGTAGAAGCCCTCCGTGATTGATTCCCCCTCCGGCAGGGTGCCGAAAAAGGCCTCCAGATGGGATCTCGGAAGAATAGAAATTTGCGGTAGCAGAAAAAGTATTTTGGGTGGCTCTATGTTGGTTTCTCGATTTTAGAAAATTTATAGAGGTGGAATTAGGCCAGACGGAGCCACGAGGGGCCCACAAGGCATCAGGGCGCGCCTACCCCCCTGTGCGTGTCGTGTTGTCTTGTCATCTTCTCATTTGCCTACTGGTCTCCTCCCGAAGCTTCTAGGGTTTCCCTTGTCTAGAAAAAAATCGTCAAAAAGTTTCATAGCGTTTGGAATTCGTTTGGTACTGATTTCCTGGAAAACCAAAAACAGGCAAAAAAACAACAACTGACACTTGGCACTAGGTTAATAGGTTAGTCCCAAAAATGATATATAATTGCATATGTAACATCCAAGATTGATACTATAATAGCATGGAACAATAAAAAATTATAGATATGTTGAAGACATATCAAGGCCTGTGAAGAATTTTATTGTAAGGATGATTGTGTCAAATGGGCTTTATCCTCCACCAGTAACTTTAGTTCAAAACAATATGTTGATAATGTCTAATATCCCCCACAGTTTTTTGTGAGGACAAAATACCATTGATAATTATGTATTTCTTATGGTTGATTCTGAAAAATTGCTTTCTAATTGAAGATGACTTGCTTAGAAGGGGCTGACAAGGAAATTGCTCCAGTTAGTTATGTAAAAAAAGAAACTATTGATCACCTTTTTTTGCAATGTTCTTTGAATAGGCTTATGTGGATTCCAAGATTTGGGAACATGTCTGATACGTCCCAAACGTATCTATATTTTTTGATATGTTCATTCTACTTTTATATCATTATTACATAGTTTTGGCACATTTTATATAATTTTACTTAACTAATCTATTAATCTATGGGACCACATGGTGGGAGCTTGCGGGCAGGGCTTCGGTTGTGATGTGGGCATGCATGGATACCCTATGGCGCCTCTCGGTGCCCATACCTTTTCTCCCGAAAACTACCAAAAGACTTATCGAGGAATTTTCTGATGCCGCCTCCTCACATTACGCGGCGATCCAATATGAAAACCTTTTTCGGTATTCTATCGCAGGGGGGATTCATCACCGGAGCTAATCAACCATGCTGCCACCATGTCCATGTGTGAGTTTTCCTCCTTAGACTATGGGCCCATAACAGTAGGTAGATGGCATCCTCTTCCCCTAGCTTCTCAAACAAAGATCGTCCCTCCATGATCCATTTGACGCAATTCTCAGTGTGCTTGTTGTAGTATGACGAATGGACACTTTATGATCATATTATCTATGGATTTCTTTTGAATTCTTTTGAGCCATTTGCTGCATTATTTATAGACAAGAGGTAGTTATGTATGTTAGATGGGTTTAATCTTGAGAGAATTCTATCCTAGTGATAGAAAGGTAAACAGAAAAGGATAAAAAGGTAGTTGATTAGTTGTCTTGGTAATGAACGGAGGTAAAGAGAATATACTATCTTGATTAGTTGGGTTTTTCTTTGGTTTTTCTGAAAATTAAGAGAATATACTACCTCAAATTTAATTATTTTGAAAAGTGAATTTTTCTGAAAATTAAGAAAATTTTATTGAAATAATGTGAACATTCTTATGAAAAATATAAACACTTTTTAAAATTTGAATATTTTTTTGAAAATTTGAAAGCTTTTGAAAAAACTTGAAAAAATTAAATTCCAGGAACATGGTTTGAAAGAAAATAAGAATATTAAAAATAAACCCGGAAAAACATAAAGTAAAAAATAAAAGGGTAAAAATCAGTAGAGAAACAAGAAAAGAAAAACGAAACAACAGAATAAAACATTCTAGAACATTCCTAAAATAAAAGCCCCGGGCCCAAACACTCCAGAAGCCGGCACTAACCTAACCTAACTGGGCTGGCCCATTCTCTCTGACTGTGTGTGCACGCAGTTGGTAGACAATTTTGCGGCAATAAACGGCAAAGTGGATTTGCCTCCAAAGCGCTTCCGTAAAAGGCCCCCTTCCCCTTCCAAAACCCTAGACTCTCAAACCGCCGGACAGCCGCCACCCCCAACCCAACCCAGCAGCAACTCAACCGACCCCCGCCTCGCCACCCATGGCGGCGCGCGAGGGCCAGAGCGACCCCCCGCATCGCCGGGAGCCTGGCCAGCGCCGCCCCATGTGCGCCGTCTGCACCAAGCCCCTGAGCGTCTGCCTCTGCGGCCGCCTCCGCGGGCCCCCGCTGGACACCACCGTCGGCGTCACCGTGCTGCAGCACACCATGGAGGTCCGGCACCCGCTCAGCTCCATCCGTGTTGCCCGCCTCGGCCTCCGCAACCTCGCCGTCACCCAAGTCACCGACGTCAACCACCGCGCCAGCTTCCTCCTCAGGACGCTCGGCGGCGCCGCGGCCTCGAATCTTGGAGACGGAGAAACCGATGTTGGCGCCGCCCATGCCGGAAATCATGACGGTTCCGTTGTTCCTGGGCAGACTGGCATACAAGATGGTGAAGGTTTCGAGCCAAGCCAAGGCAAAGGATTGGATCATGCAATGTGCAGTGATTCTGAAGATATGGGGATAAATCCTTTCGGTGGTCATTTGGGTGTGAAAAATGCCAGTATTGCAATCTCTAGGCAAGTTGCTGGCGAAGGATTAGATAATAGGGAAATAAGCAATGGTGTTTCCTCTGATCTGGATCGAGAAGTTGGCGGTGGCATTGAATGTGACTCTAATGGTGATGAGTGTTTCAGATTCGAGAAGGCGAAAATAAATGAACATGCTGGAGATTTTGAAAGGCCAGTCTCAGCCGCAAATCAGTCGGAAAGCTATGTAGTCAATGCCGTCAAAGCTGAAGGCCAACACAGAAGTGAGACATGTGTGACAAATAAGGTACATGCTGATCTGCCTCACCCTTTAGTTGAAACTACCTCAGTTAATGGTATTTGCACTGAAAATGTTGAAGTTGCTGCTGTTACTGGAGAAGGTTGGACCGTGGAAAATATGGAAAAGTGCTCTGTTGCTTATACAGAAAAGGAACTCAGGATTGACATTGAGCGCGGTGTAAAGCCCCAAATCAGATGGTTGTGCAGAGGTTCTGTTGGTCAAGGAGCTGTCTCGAATGGCTTTACTGTCGTGAAAATACAGAAGAACAAGTCCAGACGTACAGGTGAAGTCTCGGAGTTTGAGGAATTTTCCATCACCATACCGCCACACGCAGCTCTGCTATTTCCATGCCAGGGTGCAATCAGCCTTGATGCTTTAGATTGTCAGGTGAAACATTTGATTGTGTTGGATGGCACCTGGGCAAAGGCGCAGCGGATGTACCATGAGAATCCATGGCTACAACTTCTGCCACACGTGAAGCTAGAATCAGATAAGGTTAGCTTGTACAGCGAGGTGAGGCAGGAGCCAAAGGCCGGGTGCTTGTCAACCATTGAGAGCATAGTTATCACCATGAAGAAACTTGGAGAGGATGAGATGGGTTTGGATGATGTTCTGTCTGTTTTCGAGTCAATGATTATTGATCAGCGGCGTTGCAAGGAAGAGAACTGGAAACCAAAACTAAAGCCATAGTATTGGGTCCCACTGTTTTGATCTAATTTTTTGACGGGTGTTTTGATCTAATTTTTATTGGGGACTTCTGGATGCATTTTCGGTCCAGATGTTTTCTGTATCATTATTTCATACTGAGTGATTAAACAGGCCAGCATTTCTGGACAGTGTTTTTGTTCGCCTCCACTTTCAGAGCTACAAGGATACTACCAACCCTGTTCTCAGTGTAACTATTTCCCCATAACCACTGAGCTGGTGTGTATTTGATGACTCTGAACATGATGTGTTTGTTCCTGCTTCATACAACTATTAGCTGGATAAAATCGAAGCATTGCCACTGCAGAGATGAGTACTTGGGGTTAAAAGGAGAGTCAGTTTTCTGCAATGAATCAGTTTTTCTTGATTGGATTTACAAACTCTCATGTCAACAAAACCAAGAGTACATTGCTCATATTCCACTCCATATCTTCAAATTTTGGTTGAAACATGTAATATTATGGTGCATACTCTGCTATCACTCACTGTCCACACCTTGCTTTATGCTGTCTCAACATGCAATTCCATTTGGCTTCATACCTTTATAAGTTCTGTCATATGAAATGTGGCCTCTGCTAAAAAACCATGTCAATTTTCACAAGCATATTAGTGAACTGGCTATCACAGTATGATTTACATGTTCTCTTGATTAACCCACACACAACATACAGCAAAAAGCGTGTCAGATTGTGGTTTATCAAGCAGTCTCATACACACATATGTACAATGCATGACCGTGGACATCAGTATTTCCCTGACCTCACGGCTGATGTTCTATGCATCTAAAATAGTGCCCAAAACCAGAGTCTCGTTCTATACATTGTCTGCGTTTCAATTTTTGGACACACTTTTAACCACACATCTGAAATTATCCTGGACACAATTTTAACCACACATCTGAAATTACCTATTACCTCTGTCCCAAAATTCGTTTCTTATATTTGTGTATATATGGATGTATTTAACATTAAAATTTGACTAGTTACATCTGTATCTAAAAAAACCTTTGCGACGGAGCGAGTATGACATACTCCCTCCGTTCGAAACTACTTGTCTCGAAAATGGATGTATCTAAAACTAAAATACATCTAAATACATCCATTTCTGCGACAAGTAATTCGGAACGGAGGGAGTACTAGCTAATAATACTAGATGACGCCCTGCACGTTGTTGCGGGAATATTTTGCAGTATTTTAGTGAGATTTTGGTTATATGGAACATAAATATTTGAAATAATAGTTTTTAAAATTATATATGAATTAAATTTAATATCATAATAGAATGGAATTTTACATGCATGCATGTTTGCATGTTGAAGTGGATTTTTAATATGCATAGTTGCATGTTGGGGTGGGCCTTTTCTATGCATGTTGAATGATGAGGTGACATGCTTGCATGTTGAGAGAAATATGTTAGTGGGGGCTAGCTATTTAGATATAAAAGATAAGAAAGAAAAGCCACCAGTCGTAGCCGCTAACAGTTCTTATCTGCCGGCCGGAGCGAGCTTGCACTTGCTCCCTCCGTTTCGAATTACTTGTCTTGTATTTGTCTAGATATGAATGTATCTACATTTTTTTTAGTGCTAGATACCTCCGTATCTAAATAAATCTAAAACAAGTAATTCGGAACGGAGGGAGTACCTTCTGGAACACGAGTACACGACGGCCGGGCGTGCCCGGCAGTGCGAGCTGCAGCTTGAGCGTGCATCTGGCCTGGAACTTGCACTCGATGCAGTGCGCCTGGTACCTGACCTCGCCGGACAGCGCCACCTCCAGCTCGAACACCCTCGTCAGGTTCTCCTTCCTGAACTCGGCGTCGCCGATCAAGATTAACCTCTACGTATACATGGATGTCCTGCTGCGGGCCGTTGTTGACGATCCTAGCTAGCGCTTGGAAGTGGATGTGCAGCTGCCGGTCGTAGCTGAACGTCCTACCGCAGCTGCACATCCTCGTCCAAACTCTAACCAGGACCGTACGTGAATGAGTTCGTGATTGAGTGCGTTGTGGGAACTAACTATATCCTCGACGGTGCTGAGAGCTTTGTGTGATTGTACGTGGAAGATACCTAGCGTGCAGCGGTGGTAAACTAACTACACACGACGAGGACATATTCCCGCGTTCACTTTAAGGAAAGGAAATGCCTACACAAGCGGTGGTAAACTAACTACACACGCAAACTTTGGAAGTTGAAGCTGCCGGGAAAGATTAAAATATTTGTTTGGAGGTGCCTACACAATGCTATACCGATGTCTTGCATAATCGCCATATCGGAACAATATCCTGGTGTCCTACTCCCTCCGTTCAGAATTACTCATCCAAAAAATAAATGTATCTAGATGTATTTTAGTTGTAGATACATCCACTTTTATGACAAGTAATTCCGAACGGAAGGAGTATTTGTGAGGCCGATGCGGAAGATGTTGCACATGCACTGTTCAATTGTGTGATAGCCAGAGTTGTTTGGAGCTCTCTTGGAATTGAAAGGGAGATAGAACTGGCATCTCAGTTGGACCGATCAGGAGCAGCCATATTGGAGTTTTTACTATGTGATGAGTCGCTACAGCAGACATATATGGAGGCCACAGAACTTCCAGAAATAATTGCAGCGGCTTGCTGATACTTGTGGTGGCAGAGACGGCAGATAGTTCGACGGGAAGAATGTTCAGACACCAGGCAGGACAGGCCCAGTGATTGTGGCACTAACCTTGAACTACGTCCGAGCAGCAGGGAAACATTCTACTACTCCCAAGACTGAATAAATGGCCAGTTGCCTTGGCGGGACAGCAGGTAGTGAACGTTGATGCGAAAAGTCCATTCTGCACCCGAGCTCATATGCTCCCGCATGAACAGTAAAATCGAAAAAAATTTAAAAAATTCCAATTTTTTTTTGAGAGAAACATTGACAAAAGTTCTAAGTGCCTGCAAAAATTCATCATGAAATCACATTCCTATAAGGCGTGGCAAAAAAAAACAAATTCAGTGATTCAAAATGCATTTGAAAGTAGCTTTTTCAGAGTACTATTTTTTTTTTGCCACGCCTTCTAGGAATGTGATTTCATGACGAATTTTTGCAGGCACTTAGAACTTTTGTCAATGTTTCTCTCAAAAAAGATTTGAAATTTTTTGAATTTTTTTTCAATTTTACTGTTCATGCGGGAGCATATGAGCTCGGGTGCAGATTAGCCGCGTCCACGTTGATGCGACTTTTTCTTCTGGTGAGTTTTTTGGTTCATGTGGCATGATCATTAGTGATAATCGAGGGAGCTTTATTTCTGCGGGCACAGCAAAGTTTGAACATGTTGCCGACGTGGTAGCCGTGGAGGCAGCAACACTCCTTGAGGGATTAAAATTGTGCCTTGCCGCCGGTTGCTCCAATATCATGGTGAGAATGGATAATATCATTGTGGTAGAAGCTCGGAAGCTTAATGAAGGACACTATGGTGGTAGAGAATCGAATGTAGTTGCTCATGAGCTAGCTAGATGGGGTCGTGTTAACCCCTCTTCGGTTTGGATGGATGATCCCCTGACTTTTTAGTTAAATTTTTAGTGGATGATGTAAGATTTATTTGATTTTAATAAATCTAGCCAGAAGGCCTTTCCGTAAAAAAAAAAGCAAAGATGAGTCCTCACTGTGCCAACTCCTATCGACATGCTTCTTATTGTTGTGATTTTTACGAGATGAATTAACTAGTAATCATGCTTCCTGTTATGTATGTTGTCGAAATATAGATGGGTTCGCCTAATTTTTTTGGCCGATTCTCTTAAAATCTTGAGAATCAAATCTTCACCTAGCTTCTCTCAGAATCTTAAACCTGTATTTTTTAACAATCATAGTTGTTTACGTCCTAACTAGCTAGAATTGTCAAAAAATTATTGGTTCAAGATTCTAGGAAAAGCTTGGGGAAGGTTTGATTCTCAAGATTATGGGAGAATCGGCCATTGGGCAGTCGCACCTCACAAGTGGAGGAACTACTAAAAGAATCCTCATTAGTGGAGGTGAGTTGAGATCTCTTTATAAGTGTTTCTCTTTCACATGTTATTGAAGCTTGAGAAGATGAGTGATCCCCGGACGCACCTCCATCCTCTGCCACGCCTCGCCCCCAAGTGTGTGTCATGGTCGAGCCAAGCTCACACCTATGTCACGTGTGTGCTTATTTTTTTCCGGTCAGGAATGGTTAATTAATTCCGAGTCATTAACGGACGGCCACGAATCTGACATGTCGGATTGTGGGTTGTTGATGACCGGTGTGTGTCTCCAACCCACGTCTCCCTCCATGACCGAATATATATTGGAGGCGTTGAAAACCCTAGCCATCACCCAGATCAGATCACATCTGCTCCATCTCCTCGCAAACTCTCCACCATCGTTTCACTCATTGCTGCTGCTTCCGGCGATCCCATCCCGGGCACCGCGTGCACAACTATACGAGAGAGCAGGCCTTCGGAACTCCGCCCTTTGAGATCCTACGTCGTGAGAAGGACGATTAGGTTTTCGGAGAGCATCTCTGACGCGACTGCTCGCCATTGTTCGCCTTTGTCTGCTACTTCGACTACATCCTCGTTCTCCTCGACATCGCCATGTCCAGCGAATCCGAGAAGAATGCCGCCCAGGACAATGTCGCCACCGCGACTACGACCCGGCCGACTGGAGGGTATAATTTGTTCATCTCTTCTCCTATTTATTCCCGTGGTCACTATGCTTGATGTTTACGTAGATGTACCTGATGTATGCGTAGTACAAGCTTGCATGGTTAGGTATACAATATTAATACCGTCAATGCCATGTTCATGATTTATTTCTAGATTAGATTAATCAAAAAAATTGTGATTTTACTCAACATATGTTCCCTAATAAGTGTGTGTGTGTAATCCGATGAAATTGCAAGGTACGATGAGTCAAATTTTGCAAGATAACTCATATTATTGGAATTTTGTGATTTAGAGAAGTTGTGATTTAGAAAGAAAAGAAACTAGAGTCGAGAGAC